AGAGGCTTCATACATATCTGCAGTTACATGTTTCATAGCTAATAGAGCAATGCTTGAACAAATGGGGTGGTATACAAATCGGATCAAATAAATAAATAAATCTACTGTCGTGTATCCATAATTATTTTACTTAGATTGAGTCCTTTATAAAAGGAAGATGAGTTCATTTCCCCCCTCTGGTTTGCAGTTGCCTTCAAAGAAAGGAAGCTACATGTGATGCAACCGTTTAATTGACTTGATCATGTATTTGTGTGTGAGAGAGTGTCTGTAACTCCCAGAAACATCCTTCATCCTGTTCTCTGAGGAGGTGGAAACATTGCTTTGAATAATAATTTACTGACACCTTTCAAATGTCTTCTCTGTGTGCTGCATTGATTTCTGCAATTTAGACTGTGGCTGACTTGTGCTTCATTTGGCTTTACTCCTGAACAAACTGTCAGTATGTGTCCTGAGAGGGTAGCTTGCCCTACCGCATCACCAAAAGAAGCTGCTTAACTGAGCTCCATTTATTCATGTAAGTCTGGCGAGTAAACTTAGAAAACTTTTAGCAAGAAAAGTGTATAATAGATTGCCTTATGCGACATGTTTTGTCTTGGAACTCTAATACCTTGCATCCTTCTTGGGTAACATTGCTAGTCCAACAGAAAGAATACGGCAGCTTTGGTTGCTTCTGTGTCATTCAGTATCACTTTTAATTGGCATCTGAGTTGTGTTCTTTGGAATATCTTGGTGTATGTATATTTTATTGTTGCCTTGCAAACCAGCATTGTCACACTTGTATAAGTGTAAGATTCTTGAGATACATGAAAATAATCAGAAATAGAGTTTTTGATACTGAAAAGTGGGCTGTCCTTAAATAGAGCGAATGGGGCAAATACATAAATTAAGGCTGTATTCTCTCTTCTTTTTACGCCTAGAGTGGTCGAAATGACTAGATAGGTGGGGTATAAATTCAATAAATAAATAATTCAACCTAGACAGATTCACTCCTCATTACTTGCAAGACAGATCAGGCAATAGGGATTCAAACTGTACAGAATGGGTCACAGTTTGAGTGAATGTATGCATTCAACTCTCAACCTGGTTAGCAAAATTCTGGTGGAGGCCCAAAATGCATTTGCTGAAGCTAGTGCACCAACTGCCCCATTCCTGGAGATGTGTGACACATGCGTTGGTTATAGTAATCAGCTTGAATTACTCTAAAACAGGAGCTACTCCTGGAAAGTGTTCATAAATTTCAGGTGCTCTAAAGTAACGGCTAAACAGTAGATTGAGGCAAAGAACATGCTATGGCAGCTTATCTGGCACAAGTCATGGTACTGGCTGTAACCCATAAACCTCATTGTGACCAGCACAGTATGACCTTCCACACAAGCATGTTGCTTGGGTTCTGACATGTTTGCAAGAGGCACTTCCTGTCCTTTCCATCAAACCCAGAGACACCTTTGATGGGACAGGATAACTGGCTTTGTTCACCTGGTTGTGAAATTCTCTGTGAATTGGGGCCTTGGCAGTTAAGCTTGATTATAAAAAAAGGTTTTTAATCCTGGTAGATGGTTCCATATCTACTTGACTTTTTTTGCTTGTAAAGCTATTCTGTTTTAATCATTCGACTCTCTATGTTTTTAACCTGGTTTGTTTCATTCTTTTTATTGTTAGCTGTGCTTAGTATCATTTTGGGAGAGAAAAGTGTGGTGGAAACTAATAAAATCAATAAAATGATTGAAGTTCCCAGAAAACTTCTTTTAAACCGTTCTTTTTCCATAAGAATAGTAGTTTTCAGGTTTACTTTTCCTTTTTCTTCCTAAGTGCATCTTTTCCACCAAGTTTGCAGAAGCATTAACATTGTATTTCTATTATGGTAGCTTAGCTGAAAACATATAAAACAAAATCCAAAATACTGCCCCAGAGTTTCCAGAAATAGCATGGTTGTCTTTCTGTATAATGAAGGCAAAATCTAAAGCTATTTACAATTAGGTATCCCAAAGCTTTGCTGTTATCTTAAGACTATACTGAGGACCTTAATTTCAAAGCAAGCTAAGGCCTAATTTTGAAAGGGAGCTCTTTTATCTCTGTTCATGACGTCAGGAGCCCAAGAGTATCTTGTTTACTGCTCTCTTAACTTGCCGCAGTTTGTTTCCATTATATCCTAGCAGTTTTCATTCTACCTGTCTGTGGATGCAGCTCTCAAAATTTGGATTAATCTGTAGAAAGGCAGCATTGATGTGGAATAAATGTGTTCAGATTCTTGAGCCTGCACACAAAGCCACTGGTAAATTTTGTTTATATTTTGCAGTAAAATATTTAGAGGAAACAACGTATACCAGCACTATCAACTGTGCTTCTGTATTCTGGTCCTCCATTCAGTTGTACAGTCCTTGCTGTTTTACGGATATAATTTCAGGGTCATGTCTGCATTTTGCACAGATGTATCTAAATCAGTAGCTGGGCGGCTTAATGAGTTTGATACCTGGTACTTTAATCTGTACCATGCCTCGGGGGAGAAGAGCCTGCCTGTGTAATCTTGGGCAAGTTGATCAGTCCCAGAGTGTCCCCAGAAAAAGGGAATGGTAACGCACTTCCGAGTACTCTAAAACTAATGGAATCCATGCCTGAAAATGAGATGTTAATGTTTTGTTTGAGTGGGGGGGGAGTGGAGTGGAGTGGAAATAATGAATTTTGACAGTTGAACAATAGAGGCCCATGTAGCAAAAGAGAAGCATTTGAAGAATTTAATCATTTTTAAATGTCTCTTAAAGTACAAAATATTGATTCTTTTCTTCCTAGTTGGAGAGAATGATGAGAGAATTATAACATGTCTTAAAGCAGCATCAAGATAAGTTTGATGTTTCCACAGTTTCTAGGCATATACATCTAATATACTGTACATGCTTGCTTAGAAGATATATTCTCGAGGTCATGTTTGGCTTTTGTATAACAGGGTTTTTATTTATTTATTTTATTTTATTTTATTGCATTTATATGGCGCCTATCTAGACATAGTCTACTCTGGGCGGCTCACAACATACAAGATAAAAACAATTTAAAATATACACAGTTTTGCATTTAAAAAAACAAAAAGATATTAAAAAAATATCGTAAATTTACAATTAATTTTAAATATATTTTTTAGTATCTGTCAAAAAGAAGAACAGACTTTATAGATTTTCTTGTCCTGAAATGTTTTTTGTGGTTTCTTAATTCTGTTCCACCAGAGCAGCTGGCATTTTTAAATTTTGTTCTGTATTTGCAAGAGGAGCATTGGGAGTTCAGAATGCCACATTATCTTGCTTCCTGTGTGTTCTTTTTTTTTTTTTAAGGTAATTCAAAAGGTACAGATATTCATATAGCAGCATGCTGCTAGTATGAATGTCAGGTCAGAAATATTATTGCATAGGCCTCTAACTAAGAAAAAGTCTGTGCTATTAATAGACATGATAGAAAGCACTCTGCATTCAGAAATATCCAAATAAGATTAAATTTGTGGCCTAATTCTATCTGTGCTGTAGTTATATAGCACATGTACCTGTTGATTTTAACAAATACAATCAATGAGCTGGAGCCTGACAGTCCATTGCTGTGTGTCTTTTAATGGCATTTCCCATAAAGGATTTGCCAAAAGGGAGATAATATTTCATAGATGAATTAATTCTATTTGCTGAATTAACTTAATTCTCTGTAGCTGCCCACAGTGTTTACTTATCTAACCAGTACCGCAGAAAATACGGAATTATAAATAATTTTAAATTTCTGAAGTTAATTTCTATGTCCATTATGTCACTTTATTGTGTTTTGCAAGTCACTACCAAGTTTTGATCTTACACGGTCTCTGGTAACTTAAGCAACTGAGCTTCAAAGGGCGGGATAAAAATCCAGTAATAAATAAAAATAAATAATATAACCAGGAAAACCAGACCAATCCTATGCCTTAGGATAGGACAAACAAATCACAGATGTGGACAGAATAATCCAGTTACTTATTCTCAGTTGAGAGCAAATTATATTTTTCTGAGCAAGATGAAGGCTCTAAAGTATCTTAGGTGAAGAAAACACGATAATCTGTTACAGCTTCTGAAAATGATTTGTACTTCTTAAAATGAGTATCTGACTTAATGCTTCAGGTGCAAAATTTCTGTAAGTTATCTCAATTTTATCTGTATATGAAATCATAGGGAGTTCATAATTTGGGACTTTTCCTATATAAGAAGATAAGATCTTCAGATATTAAAGACATGAATGATTTTATTCAAATATTTTATTGTGAAAAGTATATGTGCATTTCAGAATTTTAACCATTCTCCTGCACAATTGATCTTTGGCTGCTTTTTGCATTTAGTTGGTTAGCTTTCTAGAGTTTACTGCTCAGATTTTGAGTGCACACTAAACAAGGTCCTTTATTTCTGTTAAGTGTCACACATAAAAATGACCGAAGTGTCCCTACAGTCTGCCTTTTAAGACCACAACAGCAAGATGCTCCCTATTGCAAAGCACAAGATAATGAAACTCATAGTAATGCTACAATATGAGACCTGGCTTATTTCAGGCTTGCTGCTCACAGTGCTGGATTCTCCAATTCCCAGATGTGGAATGACTCATTGCTCCTGCCTAGCAAGGGGAACAGCCCCTCCCATGTGGTCTCAGTTGGGAAGACTGACTCAGAGGATATACAGTATGAGAGAGATGTACAATGATAAAATGCATCATCCACACTTTTGTGTTAATTTTTTTAATAGAAGAAAAACAGGGATGTTAATGAAACAATAACACTATTTACAACAAAGTAAGTTTGCTGTTGGGAGCAGAGAACCCTGATTTCTCCAAGTGCAATATAGCAATGGGGACTTTTTAAAAAGTTTTTAAAACAATTTATAATTCAGAGCTTTAGTTGCTTAGTCTGGTTGTACTGGCAAAGTATGGCAGAGTAAATACGTCTGTTTATCTTTTAATGGTTTTTGCTTTTATAAACCTAGGATTGAACCACAAATATTTTCTTTTAACAGGGTGAATCAGTGAAATATTTCCTGGATAATCTGGACCGGATTGGCCAGTTGGTGAGATTTACTATTTATGTGCCCCCACCCTATTCTTCCCTGTTGTTTAATGTGTCAGATTTGTGTCACAGTGTTACCAGCTACCACATACAAGCATGGGACAGATCCTGTGTCTTCTAAAATGTGGTCCAAAAAACAGTGAGCTGGAAAATACAGTTGTTTTTCGAGCAGGAAATGGATGTTTCCCTGGGCTTTATGATTTAAAAAAACGGAATTGAAACACGATGATAAGTCTAGGTGGTTGCTCAAGTTCAGTACACACTTTGTGATATACCTCACCATTTTACGCTGCATGCCCTGGTGGCAAAACCTTGGCAGTATTAGCAACAGTTAAATTTATGTGACTTAGCTTATCAGAAACTTCAGATTTTATTCTATATGTTGCAAGGTTGCTATATTGAACTTCAAAGGATATGTACACAAAAGGATATGTATCGAAAGGCTTGTAAACCAGTCAGACTTTTCCTTCACATTGAATTTGCTTGGAGCCAGTTTAATGTAGTGCACATAGCCTGAGTGAAAGCAAGCTGTTTTTTTAATAGAAACTGACTGTGTGATTTGCTTTACCATAAACTGATTTTGCAACTCAGCTGCTTATGCAAGTTTGGGCTGTATTTTTTTTCTCTTCTGTCTGCACTCTGCCACCGTGCCTTTTGTGCCTGCCTAAACTGAGGCATTGATCCATTTGATATGTGATATTTTCCCTGCTTCCTTTGTCTTTCTGCAGAACTATTTCCCCAATAAACAGGATATTTTGCTAGCTAGAAAAGCTACCAAAGGGATTGTGGAGCATGATTTCATCATCAAGAAGATTCCTTTCAAAATGGTGGATGTGGGTGGACAGAGATCTCAGCGCCAAAAATGGTTTCAGTGCTTTGATGGGATAACATCTATACTATTTATGGTCTCCTCAAGTGAATACGACCAGGTCCTAATGGAAGACAGACGCACAAACAGGCTAGTTGAATCCATGAATATCTTTGAGACCATTGTCAACAACAAGCTTTTTTTTAATGTATCTATCATTCTGTTCCTTAATAAAATGGACCTCCTTGTAGAAAAAGTGAAGAATGTCAGCATTAAGAAATATTTCTCAGACTTCAGAGGTGACCCACACCGTCTGGAAGATGTTCAGCGTTACCTGGTACAGTGTTTTGACCGAAAGAGGCGGAATCGCAGTAAACCCCTCTTCCATCATTTCACCACAGCCATTGACACTGAAAACATCCGCTTTGTATTCCATGCTGTGAAGGATACAATCCTTCAGGAGAACCTTAAGGATATTATGTTGCAGTGAAGGAAAATGGGCCACTCTTCTATTGCAACTAAGCCGTGTTGTAGGTTCTTTTATTACCTTTGCAGCTCTTCTGATGGATTTTATTTTAGAAGATCCATGATCTTTACTTTGGCTCATGAAGGCTGCAGAATAACCAATCAAAACAGAAGAGCAATCTTGAAAGCTCAAGCTAGCTACTGAATCACTTAACTAAAACACTACTGAAAAAGTGTCTGTTGCAAGTGCAGTGCCTTCTTCTGAACACTGAATAACATCACTGTGTTCTGCCTTTTGAAAAGAGAACTGTTACTTTGAGGAGAGAGAGAAAAGATGTTAAGAAGTGTTGTTTTTAATTAATGCAATTGTGCAACAGTGCCAGAATCAGCTGGCTGTAAAGCCTGTCTGCCTCATTAGTTATGGGTGCTGAACTAACAATCCCAGTAATGTATTCTATTCCCTTAGTGATACTTCTGCTTGGAGAAATACATCACCACGTGTTCTTGTAATCCTAGAATCCATATCCAGATTTGGTCCATTTAAAATCTTTTCCTAATATCCAGATTGTACATGTCTTGCTCCTATCCAAAAATTTATCTTCAGCTTTCCTCATTTGGAAGTTCAGAACTGTAGCTCATTATGCAAGTACATTGTTTTTGGCAGTCATACCAACAAGGCAGAAAACCCAGGGTCTGGGTTGGTGCAACATAAGGCTGTACTTTGCACTCTGTGCGTCATGGGAAAGATGACTTCCACAGTAATGGAGCATGAAGCCAGAACTCAAACATATGACAGTCTAGCAAGACATCTTCAACCCTGTTCTCAAGCCTGAAGTTGAAACTACATCAAAACTCCCTTTCAGTTTGATGTTAAGCAGTGGTTGCCAACAACACTAAAGCCAAATGCTCTTGAGATCTCCCACTTTATCAGCTGCACTGATTTTGGACAGACTGGCCCTGCTTTGAATTAAACCTTAATTCTCGGTGTAGGGATTTATTAATCTATGTAATATGCATTTAAAATATTGTAAACTGTCAAGTCCAGACTTGCCTCTCTAAAGCAACTAGAAAGTATGTGTGAATAGTGAATTTGTAGGAGGTTGTGAATAATGTTGATGTGAACATTATTTTTTAATTCTGAAATGTTGCATTTAACTATGGGTGCCTTTTCTGTGTGTACAGTTGTTTCACACTTTGTCAGCTATGAGGTATATACAGTATTACTCAAACCAAGGCCTACTTTTCAGTGCTTATAGTCCTTATTCAGGGATCTTTTTAAAATGTTTACTGTGGCATTTGACATTGGTACCATATTTGTAATAAAACATAAAGGGCTTAGTCTTTGCTATATGATATTATGAAAATACTTTTATTTATACCATTTGGAGACAACTGTGTCTTAAATGAGAGACAGTACTCCAGGCAATTAGTGCCACAATGAGCACTATACTAAAAATGCTTCATGCCTTTTGCTTGGAAAAATCCTAGGGTATTTTTCAAATCTAATGATATTTTACTCAACCATGGTTTGGTTTGATGTGGCATGACATACTTTATAAACCAGAAATCTACCACTCTTGTAGTAATGCTTTGTGCAGAATCAAACTAATTTTTGAAAATGAGAAAAAGGTTTTCCTCTTATTATTATGCACCATTGAAATATTAGCAAGGCAGCTGCAGACTATCTGTTGCAGACTTTTCAGTCTTGAGGTTACAGTACAGTACACTTAATCATTTAACAAATTGTATATTTACCAATTACATGGACCAATTACAATAACCACAGTTATAGCTAGACAAGAAAATAATGTTATCACTTCATTTGTATGCTGAAGTATTACTACAGCTTTGCAGTTTATTAAATGGCTTTTCAGTTATAAAGACAAACGTAATTTGATTCTATCTGTCCAGTTCTCTTGGTCAACTGGAGTCAATGCTACAGTCCCTGAAATTCTTCAGTTATTGTTTTGAAAATTCTAATTTTGTGTTCCTAAGAGAACTTCTAATTTGCATTTCTCCGATAGCAGTCTTGGCTATGACAAATGGCTGAAACGGAGATGTTAATGGCATATACATCTGCGTCCCATTAGATGACATCCTTATAACCTTGGTCACACTAAAATATCTCTTGTTTTCTGGCCCCTATATTTTAGCTTGGTTTGTCACAGCGTTTTGTGTCCAGAAGAAGCCATGCTTACTCATTTAAAACTTGAACTTCACCTCTTGGCTTTCCAGAAGTGCCTCAGTGTTACACAGGAATCTTTGGCCTTAAATGGCAGGCAGTAGCACAAACTCTTATAGAAAGTATTTATAGTCTGAACAATGCCACTTTTTGAGTTTTAAAAGAAAACCAAGGGCTAGCACATGGCAATTCTCAAACTGTTATTCTGTTACATCTTTATTATTAAAAATGGATTTGCTTTTGTATAGAAGCTACATTAGCAATCGTTGAATGTAGTGTACTATTTCGTGTTCCTTCTGTATAGGTACAGCCTCTTCCTTGGTGGGTTAACCATACTTGGTTAAAACAGCTTTGGTTGATGTCAGTTACCAGATTCAATCTGGTTTACCCAATAGACCTTGTATGCAAAAGCAAATTTATTATGCTTTTGGGATGTCATTAACACTAATTCTTCTGCTCCTCATCCTTTTTTTCTGGTATTCTTTCAGTCACAGTTTCAACTGTACTATATTGTCTGATATTGCCATTGAAGCTTTATATGTAAATTCTTTTTATGTTGCTCAGCCTACGTGTGTGTGAGAGAGTACATAGTGAAGGGTGATTTGCTATTTCAAGAAAGATTTTGAGAATCACAGGGCAGTCTAGATTATTAGCAAAAATCTTTTAAATATATGATTTTACATGCATGAGAGGAATCTATCTTCTAATCATAGCACTTGATGTAATATGTTATTTAGATGCAAGCTGTATTTGTTTTTCCAATCCAGCACATTAATAGTGAGCACTTCACAGCCACCAAATTATTCTGTCTTCCTTTCTTTTGCCAAAGCCACAAGACATTTGTTTTTAATTATAACCCTTGAGAACATTTTGTACAAAATGCAGTGAAGGGAAGTGACAAGGATTTGTAGGTGGAATACTTGAGGTAATGATTCTGACTAGCCAGGAAATGGGTTACATGTACGACAGTCTGTTAATGCCTTGAGCTTACATTTCAGCATACATTGTATAAATGAATTGCCTGAGCTGTAACTAGCAATTTTGGCACTCGGGACACGCACGGGTGTCTCCCATCCACACAGTTCTGTGGTGTGGGCGTGAACTCCCCCCCGCCTGCAAGAAAAAGGAGGAGCAGAATGTGGTGCCCCCTCCAAAAGGAAGTGTGTGCTTTTAAAAAAAAGTAAGGCAAACAGGATTAGGAGGTTTTATTGTTTATTTTCCTGACATTCGCCAGTAGTTTCACCTCTAGATTTTGGTGCCTTTCAAAATTTGGTGCCCTGGGAAAAGTCCGGTTATTCTGTTCCAGTTATGGCCTTGTGAATAATCCTCAAGAGTTTTTTGTTAGAGAAATGTTGCTTTAGCACTATGCTGTGTTCTCAGTGTTTTTACCGAAGTACAAAGGGAGGAAATGCTTCCTTCCATGTCTTTATATATATAAAAAATGGACTTGCTGCTGAAAACGTTTTGTGATTGAGGTCGTATAAGACATACAGTTTTGTTTGCATGAAGTGGAAGCTGTGGCTTAGCATAATTCTGCAAGTCCCATGTTGCATTGCTTGCTTGAGTAGAGCATTCACAAGAACAGTATTTAACATGTCAGCCAGCAGCAGTTGTTAAGTGAAGCTGAAGCAGTTGTTCCTAGCACCTTTACTGCTTTAAGTGAGGAGAGCTTGAGTGGAGTACAATTTCTGGAGGCTGTGCCAGGCTTGTGTGGCCAGCCCGAGGCTAAAATGTCCCTGCCCTCTGAAAAAGTGGGCAAATTGGCTGCTGCTTATTTGGATGAGTTGATGTTGCTGCTTCTGCCACTAGTTTTTCTCACTGAATTAAGGAACCTTCCATCAACAGGCTGAAAAGTTATCTAAGGATTGGCTTACTTCCCATAGTTTTAGCTGGCTGCAGCCAGCTTGAAAATTACCACAGGCCAAGGAAGAAGAGAAGAATAAAGCCACACTGACCCCTCTGGTCAGCTTCCTGGTGCAGAGCCAGAAATCAATTGTTGAGAGGGAGGAATGTGGACAAGAGAAGGATCTAGTTTCTAAATAGATTTTCAAGCACTGCTGCTTAAACACTGACAGCCTGTGTATGTTGAAACAAAATGCCATCAATGAAGAGTCTGTGTCCTTTGATGACTGTCTCCAGAAGAAGGATTTGGCTGCTTACTAAATCAACATATTGGCATCCCTTGTAGCTATTGGCATAGACATTAGAAATCTTTTTTCCACTTGCCTATTTGTTTGTAAGTAGGACATGCAAATGCAGACTTCTTCTAGTGTGCTGTGAGAGGCTTTGGCTATGCAGATGGTCTAATAAACTTTCTAAAGACAACTAAGTGTCTCCTTTTAAACACACAAAGAATCAAGTCATTAACAGGCACATCTCTGGATATCTTAAAAGACAGCATTTTGCTGTGCTCCATCAAGTCCTTTAATATCAATCTAGAGTGCCGTCTTTGTATAATTTAAATGGGAACTACCATAATGGCATAATTACATAATGGCATTTTCAGCTAGCGCTGAAGGTGTAGTTAACCAAGTAGAGCAGGTGGACAAGGTGGAGGAAGAGGATTCATTCATTAGATGAACCTAAATATCTTAAAAATAGTAACAAGCTGCTGAATATCTAGACATGTTGTGAGAGCCAGACCCTGGTTATCAGTACCTTCAAAATCGTCTCCCTTGGCACAAGTGCTTGTAGCATTTTATCGGATTCCTAAGAACAAGAGGGAAAGGTAGGTTGATAAAGGTCCTCATTGTAAACCTACCTGGATCGAACTGGCCATTTGTTTTTCTCTGTTCACTGGTAGTAAGTGAATAAATTGTCATTGATCCTAGCTTTAAAAAAATATTTTGTAAGTCATCTTGAGGGCTTTTATGTCATATGTAGTAAAAAATATCCTAAATGAACTTAATTAAATGGGAAACTGCTAAAAGTGTTTCCTGGTGCTGACTGTATGTCTGAGGTGATCTCAGAAATGTTATCTCTTGCCCATAAAATTCCACACTAGTTCATGTCTACTAGAGCGTAATCTTCAATATTTATATTACACTCTTCATGTGTCTAAAATGCTTTGCCTATGTTGAGAATATGTTAGTTAGGCCAGTAAATTAACCAAACTGAATGGTAACTTGCTGAAGGCTGCTAGCAAAGCAAATTTTAAACCAGGGCTTCCTGAGTCATCATTGCTCACACTTATCCATGACAACAACAGCTCTAGGACAGTATTCTATGCAACATAAATCTGAAGAAAATGGGGGGGGGGTCATAAAAGGCATAGATTAGCCTTAATTCAGTTTCAGCAAAAAACAAACAAATGCCTCTTGAGTGGGTAACGAACTTAAAAATGAGAAAATGAGATGCAAGTGCCGTAACACATATCTTAATGGTAATATTCTTAAAAGGGGTGTTTGGTTTTTGAAATTGGTGATGTTTTGTAAGCACTAAAAGAGCATCCGTGATCCTTTGTGGCCTATTTTGCTGTGATGGTGCTGTGTATTGGATTTTTTAAATAATTGTGGTGTAAAAATGTACTTTATAGCTTGGAATCAGTGTACTGTTTTGTATATATGAATTTTGTAAATATTAAAATGTGACTTGTTATTACTGTGCTTTATAGTGTCCGCAAAACAAATTCTGTTTGGAGCAGCTGTTGTGATACAAGCTGTAACTTTACCAGGTCAACGACCAGTAGCTTCAATCCTGCTTCCTTTGAAACTGAGAGACAACGCTGCATCTTTTACTGACATTCCTCTCTTGCCAAAAGTGGATTCTTCTGGCAGCCAGAAAAGGCTGCAATGAGAAAACACACACACACACGCTCTCTCTCTCTCTCTCTCTCTCTCTCTCATACTCATAAGAGGGAGAAAAGATGGATGGGATTGATCTGGCAGTAGCAGTTAAAGGATCTCTGGTTAGGTTTTTCCTTTTGCTCTTCATGAATCAATATTGGCTCCTGTATAGATCTAATCACTGCCTTTAAATCTTCTAGAAGAGCAACAGTCCACTACAGCACAAACATTTGTCTTCATTCTGTGGTAGCACTTCAGTGACCACTATATTGCACCATGGGATTTTGTATTACCTCCTTCATTGGATGGAAGGAACAGTGGTGATCTAAGGAGAGAGGTGCATTCAAAGTGATGTTTTAACAGGTGCAGTTTAATGGGCACAGCATTGGTACTATGCATTACAAATATTCTGTTGTGCTCAGTGCTAACTCACCCTGCACTTCAGCTGTGCCACCTTCATTGATTTATGTTTAGGGCAAAACATAGAGCATACAATGAATGTTAAAAGAGGTTACAAATTACAGCTAAATTTGGCCTCTTAACATTGACATACTGGAGAGAGTAAGGGCTTTTCTTCTGCACTTCCAAGCTCTCTGATGCCCAGCCTGATGAAGAGTCCTGCCAGACCTAAATGGTAGCACCTGTTGGTGAGACTTTAAATGTCTAATACAGGTATCGCCCATCCTTGTTTTTGAATTATGACCAAGGGCCCAATGGGTTTTTCCTTGAAAAGAGGGGTGGTGTAGATAATTGATAATTATATGTAATTGCGAGAGGAACCCTTTTTTAACTATATCTGTAAATTATTTTTTAAAATTATAAGTTAAAAAAGATGGGTTCCTTGTCTCCAAATGCTGAAGATTAATATATGTGTGGTAGGAATTTGTATGAGGTTCAGTACTATAAGTACACACTGGGTCCACCCTGGGGAAAACGCATTGTTGAACTTTGCAACTCTGATCTATCTACTGACCTTTTAGTGTTTTACAGAGGAAGATATGCTGGATGACAACCAGAAGTCTGCCTTCTTAAAAGCATTTTATCTACCACCATCGATTTTGGATGCCAATTTGATTCATTCAACACCATTTCTCTTCAGCTATCTAATATCCAATAATAGTAACGTGACCCATGTCTACACCCCTGCCCAAAGCTCATGGTGTTCCATGTCAGCTTTTGAAATGCTGAACACCGAAAATAATGGGATTTCTCCCATGCTCTCTGATCAAGACTGCTGCTTTCTCTCTCATGTTAGTGAATGCTCATTTAATAATGGCATGGCATAGAATCTTGAAACATAGTCCTTGCACTGCTAGGGTGCAGATTCAGTTCACTGAAAAGAAAAATTTAAGATGCACATTTTCAACAAATTTATCATTTCAAAGCAAAACAAAGAGGCTGCATTATTTTAAAAATCCATTTAAAATCACATCCATACCTGATATGTGAGAAGTCAACTTCACCATTGTAATGATATCATACATTTAAAAAAAACAGTTGAAGAGAAAGGAACTGATAATTTTATAAGGATTAGTAGGTTCAAAATTGACTGTTTCCACCGAATCTTTTTAATACACAAAATGCCAAGATAGCTGATGTCTTCACACTCTTTCAGTGCTTTAAACTGTGGGACTTTTCATTAATTTATTTCATAAACTCATGGTACTGAATGTATGAAAACTGTAAGTTTCCTGAACAAGGGGGAAGAATTTATAGAGAGAGAGCATCTTTGGAGAAGAAGGGGAAGACAATTTCTTGCTGTAAAAGAAACACAGTGAAACCAATTTCACTCTCAGTCTACCTCCTAAAGCCACCTATCCCTGAAAAAGGTGTATTGACTGAGATATTAAAGGACTGGGGAGCAGGGAGTTAACGTAAAGTGCTTTCTCCCGGGGCTGAGTACAGGTTCCCCAGTTTGAATTTGGAGACCATTTCTTTTGAATTTGTCCCCTTACATGGAAATGGGCATGAATGAAATAGCGATACAGTATTTGGGTCCAGAACCTGGGTAAACCTTACTAATAATCTAGCAATCCAAACTGGGAGATAGAAAGGGAGAATCCAGCTTATTTGGGGCACATTCCAGAGCTAGGTGGCAAAATGTGCCCAATGGGCAACTAGTAGTTGCTTGTCTTCCCATTAGTACTCACATGCTGTACAACTTTGCCTACAACACACATGACGCCTCTGAAGTTTTCCTAGAGCTTACACTGGTGCAGCATCTTCAGAACTAGCCTGGGGGAGGTTTTCCCAGGACCTATACAGCTCTTGCTAGAGATTGTTCAACAGGGTCTCAGAAATTGAGATGCAAGTGCTCCAGTGGCTGCCTAGCTCCCAAGTGTATGCATCAATTGGCTTTCTGGACAGTCCCCTCCACTCGCTCCTGGCCTTTCCATTGCTGATGCGGCACAAGCACCAGACACCACAACACCTTCACCCTCAGCACTTTTTGACCTCCAGCACCAGCTGGGAGCAAATACTGTAGATATGGGTGTCCAAACTTTAAAGCCAACTTGCATTCAAAGGTCAGTGTTTCTTTCCTTTCAGCATTGCTTACTTTGAGATTTGGCTGCAGACTCAGAATAACAGTTCTGGCTGCAAACTCTGAGAATGACAATTCCAACTGATGACTTGAAGCTTGAGAATCCTGCAGTTTTGTATCCCATTTTATTTTGGCTCGGGAGGTGGGGGTTGGAATCCAAGCTGCTGATACTAAGCTGATCAGATTTGGCCCTGGGAGTGCTACGGTAGTAGCTTATCAAGACAATGGTATAAAAGGTAAAACATGTTTAGTTTTGTTTCTTCTCTAGCCCATTTGCTGAATGTGTGAGATAATTATCTTGTCTCCCCATTGCTTGGAATCCTCAGAGCAATAGAGTGGGGGATCCCAGTGGGTCTGTTTTGCTTGTCAATTTTAGTTTGGTGCTCCAGATGGTTTAACACTCACTGCTGTCTTTGGATTGCTGCAGTGAGGCTGCAGAACTGGTTGTTTATTCTTTGCTCGGAAGCCTTTGGAAAAAAAATTCCTCCTGAGCTGCAACTAAGCAACTGCAATAATTCAACAGGCTAGAATTCAACAGTTACAGATGGAGGAGCTAGCCTAATTTGTGGAGCCTAGCCTCTCTTGTTGAGTAACAATGGTTCTCTGTGTACGCAGCTGGCAATTCTAAGGGACCCCAACTGATGGGAACAAGTGGAACTCTTCCAACAGCACCCCGACCCCCATTCAGCCAGCAGGGTGGCCTGGTTTGTGTTTGATATTCATATTTCAGTTGCTTCCCAATAATTCCTCATCTGTTTGGTTTTTTTAAACTTTTTGAGCCCAAAATCTAAACAAAGCAAAAACCTAAAAACAGAAAAGGCTTGCTGTATTATGTAATGAGCTTGTCAAGAAACCTGCTGTCTTAATTTCCTTAGTTGGCGTACTGTTCTTGCTTTTCTCCTTGGTGCAGGATCATGGCAAAACAACAGTTTATCAGCACTTTTCTAGTGAGATACGTGCTCTACTATATTTTCTAACTTGTTCTCATGCTTGCAACGTGGGAATAATTTCTGGGGTAGGGAGGGAAGAAGTTGTTTTTCATGGGATTTATTGGAGATGGATATTGCTCTTAAGGGATATGTTGTGCAGGTGTGTTATGTACTTGTTCTTTTACTTGCTTGTGATGTTCCTCTTATGTGGCTGTGTGCTGCCATATATATATCTGGAATAAGCTTCAGATGAATATAAAGAACATTTTGTTCAATATGAATATAGTGCCAAGAACGATATCTCACTTGCCTTAATCTGTGAGCATTTTATTTGGACACTGGGTCTTGAGGAGCTGGAACTTTGTGTTTCAGAAATATCCAAAAGTGTGTTTCCAGAACCTGCGTTGTGTGCATAGTGAGCTAGCCTAGGACGTGATAAGGGTGATTACTTAGCAAATATTAAAAATATATTCCATGTATTGGCAAATGAATCAAGATTTTCTAGCTCCTTTGTAACTCTACTTTTATGTGTTTGTTTTCCATCCAGTGCAATTTATTTTACTTTTTAAAAAAACTCCCCCAACTGCTCCTTTAAGTGCTTTCAGTGTTGTTGTTTTTTAATCTATATGAGCAGAAAGTGACTGCATTGTAATGAGTTCTTGGTGGACTCTTGTTTTGTGAAATACTGAATCTTTAATGCAGTTGGTTCATCATGTCAGATATACAGAGGCAGACTTCTTTCTGTTATTTGAGTACAGTCACATCGAAAGTAAAGACCTTTTTGGCTGCATTTCCTACAAAATTAGGTGGCATAGATTTTATTACTAGATTCAAATTATACGAAAGAAAATTGCAGTTTAAGATTAGGAAGGCTTTTCTAATGATAAGAGCTGTTTGACAGTGGGCTACAACTGGTGGACTCTTCTTTGTAGGTTTCTAAAGAGAAGAAATATGACCAACTGTCAAGGATGCTTTGGCTGTGGGTTCCTCTATTTGGTAGGAGTTGGATTAGTTGACTCTTGGTTTCTCTTCCAATTCTTTTCATTACGTGACTCTGTTACTCGAATGCAATGTAATTTTGTTGAGTTCGGTATTATCCATGCAGAGTATCTATGCAAAATGAGAGTGGTGCCTTGCAAGACGATGTTAATTTGTTCCACGAAAAACGCTGTCTTGCAAAAACATCATCTTGCGAAACGCGGTTCCTCATTGAAATGCATTGAAATCTATTTAAAGCGTTCCAGTGGAAAAATCGTCATCTTGCGAAAATCGTCCATAGAAAACATCATCTTGCGGAACGTGGTTCCCCACTGGAATGCATTGAAATCTATTTAATGCGTTCCAATGGGGAAAAATCGTCGTCTTGTGAAAATCGTCCACAGAAAACATCGTCTTGTGAAGCACAACAGCGATTGCAATAACCAATCGTCTTGTGGATTAATCATCCTGCAAGGCAATCGTCTTGCGAGGCATCACTGCTTTGCAGTAATCTGGGACTGTATTCTCTAATGTGCAGATACACTATTGGAAAAATAGTTGACTACTCTGAATAGCTGAGACGAAAGCTTCTAAATCTCCCCCCCCCCTCC